TTTGAGACTTTGATAGAAAGTTATTAAGTTCTGTCAAACCCACAGCTCCTTCCCGAATATTCCTCATCACTTCACTGATATTGACGTTTTTAGAAAAATATTTTCCATGTGAGTAAAATTTACTGTTTTAGTCCGCATTTCGTGGCTAAAGCTAATTATGATCTGTTGCAATACGTGATTGGTGGCAGTTCTAAAATAAAGTGTTCAAAATTTATAACAAAATGTTTGTTTATTCTTCCTGATATTTGTATTTAACTTAGTACTGATATTAATTCGGAACAATATATTTAAATTGTCTCTAGAAGCTTTATTTCATATACATTGCTTCAAACAACTTTGATGTCCAAACTTTATGTTTCTAATGCTAACCATAAGTCACACAAAGATAACTACAAAAAAAAATAAAAAATACACCATTTCTACAACAACAATAACATATTGGTGTGGTGTAATTCCACAAGTGGGAACCCTCGACTCAAACAAAACAAATCAAAATCAGTAAGAAAACGAAATGCAATGGTAAGAAAGTCATGGAGAAAACAAAATCCGGAGTTGCTCATGTGATTTCAATATTGTTAATATAACACATTATTGACATCCTGGAAGGTTTCAAACTTATGTTCATTGAACAAGTAGCTGCTCATTCTTCAACCCCAGGTTGTGATGGCTCATTCTATCTTAATTTTAGCTACTCAGAAACCTATTACTCGATAGAACATTGTATAAAAGCAGAACACCTTTTACACGTTACCCTTGATTGAGTCTCGAATTGGAGCTCTCATCGTGGGGAGCAAAACGAAGTTATTGCTGTATGAGGCCAATGAACTTAAACTCCATAAACAATTTGGAGTTTGTAGAAGTTAAAAGACTATTTTATTGTGTTCACTTTGTTGTTCAAATAAATGTAAGTCAATCTATGTATAAAAGGAAAGGCAAAGATGGAAAGCTTAGTTCAGTTAAATAAACTTTCAATTGAGAATTAATGAACTATATAATATTCTACAACTTGGCTTTCAAATGAAGACGCATTACAAATACAAACCTCTGTCAGATACCGAGCCTCATGGATCTTTATTAGACCTTAAATACTGCTATCACTGTTGTTGTTGTTATGGTTGCTGGTGGCGGCAGCATGGTTGTTGCTGTGATGGTTGCTGTTTCCACTTCTCCTGTGCTTAAGCTGTGAAATTTCCAATTGTGTATTCATGAAGAACTGCATTCTCTGCAATTCCATTTCTTTCGCAAATTTCATCCTCTGCTTCTCCATCTCCACCATTTGTTGCAGCTTCGCGCTCTCTGTTTGTTCATATGCTTCCCCGAATTTTAGTATTGCCTGTGTCAACTCCCTCACTGAATTCCCCCAATTTTTGTTTCCACCTTCCTTTCCACTAGCTTCTCCAATTCCAATTCCTCCCTGCCTTAATGCGCTTGAATTCAGCATTTCCTTCTGAAACCTTGGTCTCTTTTTTTGAAATGTGCCCGGAGGAAAACTGTCGGTTGAAGCAGGTGAAAGGTCCGGTTCTGACTCCGATTCCGATGTGTCTGAATCCATGTGAGGCCTTTTCCGGGACGGTTGCTTTTGCTTCTGCAGCTGTTGATGTTGTCGAAGCTGAGGAAGGGACCTGACTCCCATAGGAATACCCATAGGCACGTGTTGATTACCTGAATACAAATTGGACGGTCCGGCAGCGACGGTAGGATTGATCTTAGCCGTCGGACCTATCAACATATCGAGCTTATCAAAGAAAGGCCACTTGCTTGGTCCTTGACCCGCAGCGATCTTAGATTTCTCCAGCTTGTATTTCTTCTTTACAGTATCAATTCGATTTTTGCACTGAATATCAGTTTTAGGCGTTTTTCTATAATCCTCCCGACGGCAAACAATGTCAGCAACATCTTTCCAGTGCTTCTGCTTCAAATTACCTCTACTCAATTCCATGTACCGCTCACCCCAAGCCTCGATCAGTACAGCCGTAGCCTCTTCACTCCAACAATCCTCCCTTCCACCACCACCACTTCCACCGCCGCCAGACGCTCCAGCAGGTCTCGATTGCTGTATCGGTAGAGCCAAAGTCAAGGTATTCTGAGGAGGCGCTGATGCTACCGTCACCGTTATCCTCCCGTTAGATCGCGGCGATTCCGGAGATCCAGAACCACCGGACTGATGGGACTGAGTTTCTTCGTCGTTCTCCATAAACTTAAACCGTTATAGCAGATTCCGGTACGCCGATCTGAGAGTTTGTAGAAAGAGAAGATGAAGAAGGAATTTTAGGTTAGGGTTTCGGTTGACCGGCGGTATATAATGAGGGAAGGGACTGTTTGGTTAGTATTTGAGTTTAGTTTTGGGTAAAAGTTTTATTTTTTGGACAATTTATCGGTGGACGGAAAAAAACAGAGATGGCGTGACGGCGTCGGTCTTAAGGTGCCGAGGAGTAGGACACGTGGCGGCTAGGTATAGGTGGGAAAGCCGACTACTTTTACAGGAAATCCGTCACCGGCGGCGTAAAGATCAATTAGGCCGGCTTAAGGTTTGTTAATACTCCAATATTTTATATTATCACATAATTAACAGGACACTATAATTACTTCTTTTTTCTCTTCATAATTAATACTTCAGAAGTATTAATTATGAAGGTGTTAATTAACACAGTACAATGATGATATTGTGTACACATTTTTCGTTTTGAACTTTACTTATGAAATTGAGTATAGTATTGTTGTTATTGTTATTGTTATTTTATTTTATGAAACTAGTGAGGATGTCTCAATAAAAGGCTCAAACTATAGAGAGTACAAGTTTTAGAATAAGTAAGCATTCGTTCGATCAAAGATTTTGAAGCTAAAACTATGAGTTTTTGAAGTTTGAAGTTATGTTCGAACATGATTTTTTTAAAAAGTTTTGTGTGTGAAAGTTACAAAAACCCCAAAGCTAGTTCGAGCCAACTTTTTGGAGATTGAAATATTTGAAGATCAAATTTCATAATCAAACAATTATTTAAAGATACATTTTAAAAATTTGATCTAAAATCTATGATCAATTGTTAGAGAAAAATAAGACTAAATATCATAGTTGTAACGTTCTTACTTACGTGTTTGGACCACTCTCTATTTCCAAATAATTAAATATTATTGGTCATAACGTCTTAAGGAAATTTTCAAATAATCAACTTCTTTTGATCAGATTTTACTCTTGCCAACTTCTTTGAATTGACAACTTACTATAATTTTAGATTAGTTTATTTTCCAAGTTTAACTTGAAATAGTTCGAATTGACAACTTAAGAGAAATAATGCATCACTCATAAGAGGTTAAAATATGAGGAAAAAATAATAATTCAACATTTGGTAGAAATATGAGAAAAAAAATAATTCCCATATGGAGATGCGGGGGATCGAACCCCGTGCCTCTCGCATGCAAAGCGAGCGCTCTACCATTTGAGCTACATCCCCGATGCTACAACAATGAGAGAGCAAATATATCAATTGAACTCATCAAATACGCTTGTAACCATGTGTACTTATTTGAACTCAGCAAATATATCACTTGCAAACAGTAATGTTGCGTACACACCACTCTCCCTAGATTTCACTTATAGTATGTTGTTAGTTGAATGTATTTTTATTAAAATGATCTTATTAGAGTAATTTATTGGCATTCGACACCGCTTAAATAATATCATGTATATAACATTGTGAGATAGATGCCAGGCAGGCAGGGCTGACTCAATAAGATAGGGGGCCTTAAGCGTAACTTAAGAGAGGGGCCCTAATATTTTAATTTGTTCATCATACTTTTATTTAAAATCTATAGTTCTAGCTTTTTTAGATGCGAAGTTATTAGTTACTGTTTTAGAATTGATCTGTTTTAATAATTCATTTTCAATTGATAATATAGTCAATTCATTCAATCTCTCTTAAGACATTGTTGATCTTAAGTAAGACTTAATCGATATTAGTTTCGAAAAACTGCTTTGGGCTAAGGTAATGGTTACAAACACTTTAAATATTATTCTATAAGCAATATATGTATTTAAAAAAAAAAAATCAAGTCTTTTTATTTGATTGAGTACTTTTGTTAGATCATTATCTTTCATTTGTATTGTTTTTCATAACACTTTTAATTCAAAAAATAAATTTAAACCATTAATATCAGAATAACTATTATCTGTTGAAGAGACTTTGTGATTTCGTTATCAATATTTTCATCAAACTGTTTCTTACGAAATTCAAATTCTATATTCATCTCATATACAATTTACTTGGTAGAAATATACCACTCAAAGTACATATAATTTTTTTTTAAAAAAATAACATTTATAAGTAAAAATAAAATAAAATGGGGTCCCCTAAAAATATGGGGCCCCAAGCGATGGCTTTAGTGGCCTAAGGGTTGAGACGGCCCTGCAAGCAGGAAATTAGTTGTGTGTTCATCATCACTAGTTTGTTGCTTTTCCTAAGGCTATATATTACACTTTCAACATCTGCATTTGCCTAAAGTGCATATCAACTCCCAGTGACAACAACGTGTACACAATTTTACCCCTACTTTGTAAAAATAGAGAGATTCCCTTATCAATAGACCTTCAGCTCAAGTAAAAACATATCAGCATCAATAAGAAAAGGAATATGATGACTCCTTAGCTTCTTATTCATGAAGGAATATAATCTAATGAAAGTTACTAGTTTATACAGGTAGATAGAAATCAACCATTACCAGAAAGTGAATTACAGGAAATTCGTCCTCAATAGTCAATATATTTGAATCAGATGACTAATTTGCCGAACAAAATTCTGCTAGGTATATATGTTGATGAAGGCAGTTTATGATACGTTATAAATTCTCATAGCTTTTAAGATGATGATTGATAGTATTGCAGAAGCTTAGCTAAATCGGTAATATGGTGACTGCTAGAGTGTTCTCTTGTAATGAAAATGTCACAAGGATTTTCTATAGTAATTTTCACGTCTCTATCATTGTGAAATCTTAAAAGGTACCCTTGAAAAAAAAAACCGTTTATGATTTGTAACATCATAAAACCTGTCTGATACAGCGTTTCAACTATGATAAAGGGGAAAACAAAGAACTTAACCTCATTCTTTGGTATCAGGAATTAATTTACAGGACTAGTAAACATGTTTTCCAGAGGGGTATGGTGGAGAAACCAAATTTGAGCAACTTCATCCTCACAGGCTGAATTAGCTAGCTACTGTAAACTAAACTGCGTAATTACAGGCCCTTCAAAACCATTCAACTATTGGTGGTTCATTCTGCAATGTTCCTTCAGATGCCTCCAACGTCTTGTAAAAACTTCCATTATGCTACACCTATATAACCTATGCCTCCCATTTCTTGATCTGCAAAATGGAGAATATGATTAGCTCCGTATATGTAAACATGGTAAGCAAAGTGCATGTCAAGAATGTAATTAGCTCCGTATATGCAAACATGGTAAGCAAAGTGCATGACAAAACGACTTGTGAAATAAGAGATAAATAGAGTGGTGAGCTGGGAAATATGCAGCAAGTCTCCAGATGGATGGACCAGATCCCATCTGCTGTTTCAAAGTAAAGGTGAGAACAGCTTCCTGATGCCTGTAAAATTGGAAAGCATAGCTGTGGTGGCAAACTTACTTCCAAAAGCCCAAGTTAAACATTGTTTCTAACAGCAATGCATGCTCAATTTGGCTCAAGATAGAGCCTTAGTGCCTTACTATATGCACGTGATGCTGACTTGTCCAGAAAAGGATATGCAAACTAGTAATTGTCATGGAGGGGTACAATAACATCTCTTTAGCAGTATGTGTTGTTCAGAATTATGCCAGAAATTGAAGGTAGCATCCTAGACTTCTACAAAAAAGCAGAAAGCAGGCTTCCGTAGTCAAGTGGTGTAGAGCTTCAGGGTTTAGATTCTAACACACATGCAATGATACTAAACATGCTTTACACCAACAAATGAGAAGTACCCATTTATCACTAGAAGCATGTCATGACAAAAACCGTTTTTTAATCGGATGTACCCAAGAACTAAACTACTGATTTGCAATGAAACCCAAAAAGAAATAACATTACTATCATTTTGCAGCAGCCAAGACATGATTTAGAACTCCAGACATACAGCACATTTATCCAATGGGCAACTGATATTGGTCTAGAGAAGGATCGCTTGTGAAGTGCAAACATAGTGATGGGGCATGAAAATTCAGGGCCACTATAGGCTGGGCTCTCCAGAAAACAAGCAAATCACAGTAGAATTCATCTTAAAAGAAGTAATACTTACCATCAAGGTCTGTACAGTTAACACGGGAGATACACCAAGAACTCCAGGGACCATCAAAACCTTGTCATCTCATGCAACATTTGAGAAGCATTAGACTGTGAAACCATGTTGTCTGAACTTGGAGGTCTGATCATGTGATTTGATTCACCCGCCCCTGGTCTGACGGTTTCCTTAGCACTACTATTTGTACTTGTTTCTGTTTGTGAGGACTCCATCAAGGTACGTATCTGAGTCAAATTAACAATGATTCTAAAAATTATCCATCAAGATCGAGGCAGGTTATATTATCATATAGAATTGCACTCACCACATCCAAACGCTTTTTGTGGAGATCACTTGATGACTGCACAGAGTTAGAAACATTATGTCAAAAAGTAGCCTGAGATTCCACCCAATCTAAATAACTACAATCATTGATGAATAAGCAGATTACCAGCAATTGTGGACTACAATCAGCAACTAAACAAATGAGCAAGGATGAGTTAAAGATATTGTAACAGTTTACTATTAGTAGTCATAATTCTTTTTTTTTATAACCGTGGTGTTAGGGCTTGCTTGCGCGCACCTCCACTAATTCCACAGGATATCTCCCACCTCCCAACAACAATAAATACCAGGTAACTTTGTCCATCAAGGCTAGGACAGAGAAATCACCAAGTATTTCTGTCTCTGCTGGGAGGTTCCTAAGACCTCATAGTTCTCAACCCATTTCATTTTTTGATGACAAAGGAAACCCGCAGCCGCTACCCTTTGGGTGCGCACAGGGTAAAAACCCCGCTCCTATGCAATAGCTCACAAACCACATAGGAGAGGTAACCGGCACTAGGCAAGCCCGGTGCGACGGGCTCGACCCAGAAGGTAGACCCCTTGCTTTCGCTGGCAAGGGGTTTCGAACTTGAGACCTCCAACATGGAAGTCCCAAGCCCAAACCACTGGGCCACCCCGAAGGGTCGTTCTCAACCCACTTCATTGACCACTAGGTCACACCCTTGGTGCTCTTTTAGTAGTCATAATTCAAGTCACATCATTATTCTACATTAGTGCAGATACGAGAAGGGAATATACCACCCATGAAAAGGTTAAGAAAAAGAGGCAGAGCTACATACATTTTCTGGATAGTGTTTCCTCTCTTCACTTGAGAAGCCTGGAATAGTCAAGTGCCAGTTTTTCTCTGTAGAGAATCACAACAACATTTAGATTAGAAAAATACCTCAGTTTCCTTTATTTCTTAATATATGATATAAAACATCTTTAGACGATACAAGCATCTCCCGAAAATACCAACTGTAAAGTGTAAACAACGTACCCTAAATGTCTGTGGGTGTATGCACATGCTTGTGCGCCCACCGAAAGCATATTAGAAGACATCATAAAGTAGTTCTCTATGAGCGATAAAATATATGACATTGGGCAAAGCAGTTGGACATTACTGATATTGATGTTTACATATTACAAATATTTGAGATAGTACCTTGACAACAAATATACATGTATCACATTGGGTATGTTGTTGTAGTTAAAACATGAAATGGGTGGAAAGTTTCGAAACTACTTGATCTCTCTATATATACAGCTTCTATGTGTATCTTTCAGAGGCAAGGTCATATTGTTCTACCATAAGGGTTAAGTTTGATGATTAAGTTCCTGGAACTCACATTCAAAAGCTTACACAGATATAGCATAAGCTGCAACTACTCCTAATGATAGGAGAGAGTTTGGTATCATTCCAATTTTATCGGATGTCACCGAAGGGGCAGAGGGAGCTTGTATTAAAACTGCATTCCGTCATTGAAATTTTGCTTGCTACTTATAAATAAGAAAGTGGTGGCATTGCAATTCAAGTATAGCATTTGGATGCGTCCATAAGCAGATGAAAAGCTTGAAATGCATAAGAAAATGAAGGAGATGATACGATAAATGTTGGTATCAAAGTGAAAATGCTGACAAAACTGCCATTACCTAGTTCAGCATATAGCTCCATTTGTGAACATGATCTATGAGCTTTCCTATTATCATCAGAAACTAAGGAACACGGAGACGACAACAGCTACTGGGAGAGCCTTAACCCTAAGGTATTTTATTTGTCTACAAACATAACAACCTTTGGCGCATTTTATGTCAATGAAAATGTGGTCCAAATTTTGTGAAACTAAACATTCCACAGAGGAAGGATGGTTTCTTCCCTACATGAGGAGTATCTCACTGCATAAGACTGTTAAGAACATACTGATCAACAAAAAGAAAATAAAGAATTTATACTAAAAGTTTAAAAACATATATAGCAGTAAAACACAGCTTTTACACCTAATAATATAATATTTTCAAGTAATTGCTATCCCAAGCCATCATAGCGCTTTTTCAAAATAATGGAAACAAACTAAAGAACAGGTCTTTTATTTGCAGTTGCAGGCACAAACCTAGATGTAGCAGTACATCCTTGGACTCCAAAGTTGAAGATTTCCGATGCTTCGCCAAATTGCAAGCAAATGTAGTAACCTACAATGAGAATCAATGTAAAATATATTCATGTATGTCATTTTTCATGAACAATTTATCTGCAAAGAATTTCAGAAGAAACTAGAACAAACTGGTACAAGTGCCCAGATTAATAAATTTTAGTTCAGAAAAATATCAACAAATATATTGCAGCGATAGTCAAATGTGATACACACAGCAAACCCCAAAATAACCCAGCAACCAACATCCCCCAGAAAAGAAAGACAAAAAAGATGACTAAAGCATTTTCAAGCCTAACCGAATCAATGAAGTCATCAGCAATCTCTAGAAGAAGATCTTCAACTTCAGGATCAAGCTTTCCCTGCGCATCCACCTGAAACATCAACATCAGTGAGCAAAATCAGCCGTAGGAGAACTTTACAATAGTACCAGCGTTGACCATAGTATTAGGTTAGTCAGACTCAATCTCTTCAGTAAAATATTCCAATTTCAGTCAGTTCCATTCTCTTCAGAAAATTAGTTCAGAGAAATTCTACATGTTATGATTGGAAGCAAAGTGAATCTTTTGTAGTTGGGAGGGAGGGGAGGAATGTTATCACCATCAGTATTCATAATCTGTCAGAAAATTCTGAAGTTTTTTTTTTTGATAACCGTGGTGTTTGGGCCAGCTTTTGCGCACCTCGACTAATTTCACAGGATACCTACCACTAGCAGCCGGTACCAGGTAACTCTGTCTACCAAGGCTAGGACAGATGGAAAGAAATCCATATTTCTTTTTGAAGTTCCCAACACTGATAACAACATTTTAAAGATTGAGAAAGTGAAGCAGAGGAAAGACCTGTGAAACCAAATCTTGTATCTTTCTCTTTCCAAGAAGCTGATTGCTTGCTTCAGTCCCCTGACTTGAACTCCCCCCCGGAGTAGTTGTTCCGGATCCAGTAGCATCTGGTTGTGATCCAGTTAAACTCAAAGATTTTTGGCCAGCTGGAGCAGCCATCCTCGGGGAAGATTGCTGCTGATGTGAAAGCTGCTGTTGTTGTTGCTGCTGCTGTTGCTGTTGATGCATCTGAGGGTGCCCAATCTGTTGCTGCTGTTGTACAATTTGGGATAGTTGTTGTGGGTTCAAACCCATTGAGTTTTGGTGTTGTAGAAGCATTTGCTGCCTTTGCTGTTGAAGACGAAAGGAAGGGGAATTAGGAGTAGAAATCGCAGGCATTGGCTTCAACCACTGCTGCTGTGATGAATTGTTCTGCATAATTGCAGATTGTCCATTCTGAGTCAACCCAGGTAACTGAGAGTTAGCAAATGACGTCCTTGGAAGACTCTGAGCCGATATTTTCTACAGCAAATTGTAACGTCAAAGTGAGCAATAAAAACAAACTATTGGAACGTAATAAGAAAGACAAGAGAGTATTGGATTATATACATTAAATTCCACAAGAGAATTACATGTAATCTACTGAACTGAGAAAGCAAAATTAAATAAGTGAAGATAATCATGAAATTATGACAGCCTTAAATGACCATCAGCTTCAAATATCTAGCAATATGACGACATCCACAACTATGAAGCACTTTATAACCAGATTTCATCTTGGCTGATTCAATTAACTTGTAATTAATTACACAAGGATATATTTAATTTAATTTTTAAGACAAGGGAACCACCCGCCACAACCCTTCGGGTGTGCACAGGGTGAACTGTGCCAGTGTAATAGCCCGCCAACCACACAGGAGAGATAAACCACACTAGCAATCCCGTTGCGACAAACTCGACCAAGAAAGCATGCAGAGGGTTTCTTTGTATCAAGTATGAAAATTGGCAAGACGAGTAAAAGGAATTCCTACTGCTATGTCAATAAAAATATCTATTGGCAAGAATATTTTATCCAGAAAATCATTTATACTTCTCCGCAAAGTTCGAATTTTTTAAAAATCTTGAATAAGGTAAAGATTTTATTGATGTGAAGGAGCAAAAACCCAGGCAATATACAAGATAAATATAAAAGCCCAAAGATTAAAAAAAATCATAAGGTAAAGAATTTATTAATGTATAGAAGTAAAAACCTAATTTTATTGTTTGCATTGCTTATCCGTGAATTGTTAATTGCTGAAACAGACACCAAGATTCTCTTTCGTGCCTTAGAGCATAATTATAACCAGAAAGTTCAGATCCTACAGGCTAAATCTTCTCCCTTGATGAACTATTTGTTATCTAGAGAAAATGAAGTGATTGAAGCAACTAACTCAAAGATGGTTTTACACAAAACATAATCCAACTAGTTGAGGGTTAAAATCATAGGATTATTTAACAAAATGACATTTGTTAGAAGTCTACTAGAGGAAAGAAAAGCTCGTTCACCTTGAATAGTATAACAACCAAAAACGTTGCTAACTAAGAAAGTCAAAATTAATAAAAGATTGGACTTTGAAGTTACAAAAAACTAAATGCATCAAATTGTCCCAAAGTATTTTATAGAAAATAGCAAATTAGGCAGTCAACAACAACAGCATACCCAGTGTAATCCTACAAGTGGGAGATACATCATTCCACGTATGACAAAGAAATGATTGCTTCTACTGCAGCATTCCCTAACATACCAATTTCAAGTTCATTTTCATTTTCAATTTTGTTTTTAAATTTCTTCATTTCAATGTTGTTTTCAAACGTCTTCATCTTAAGTATGAAATTGCAATGTGTTAGAACACTTCCATCCTTTTCATTCAGCAGAGTTACCACTCAATGAAGCTTCTTGCCCCTCTCCAAAACTTCCACTTGACTTTAAGTGTGTCTCCATCTCTCGCTCCTTCTAGACTACTGCACTTCCATGACGTAATGTCAACTTGAAGTAACTTGTTAATTTTTTAAAATAGTAAATCTCCTACTTTAGGTCAGCAGTTCTAACTTGGCATGGAGGTCAATTGGTTAGGAAAATGAAGAATTGAAGGGAAAACAATAAATAAGCTAGTGTATTTTAGCTTATAAATAGATGATCATTCTCATGCTTTCTTTAGCACTTCCTTTAAAAAAAAGGTTCAACCTCTTAGGAAAACAAATTAATTATATCAGAACGATTGTTCCATTCATCTGCCCCACTAACCAAATTTGAGAAATTGTAAGTCGTAAAAGGGTCAGGAGCCGATAAACCCTAACGTTTTCATAAAAATGAACAAAAAGGGGGAAAACAAGTCATAAATTAGGTCTACCAGCAGTAACATATTTTTAGGAAAAAAGAAAACCAGAGTTCGACTCCATGAAGAAAGAAAACCAGTTATGAATCTGTCCGCAAAGGGACAAACTGTGTTAATGATACTTCCACTGCTGTTAAATGCTCATAGTTGGCACCTCAGAACTTAGCTATTACAGCATGTAAACCGAGAAATTGCAGCATACTCAATGAGAAACTATTCGTTCAGATAAGAATGCCATGCTGGAAATATAGTACTGAGGAACTGTAAGAGCAGCTAACTGCTAACCTATGTGTCTTTGGATCAAATTCAAACTTTTCACAAGGGAATTTTTTCCTTACAAAGCTATTCTCATATCTAGCCATAAGATTTTACATGGATTGAAATTTTGTGCCACCTCGAATGGAACACTGTAAAGGGGTAGTTACAGTGAAAAATCTCTGAGATACAGTACCATGTGCTAAAAGGCTCTTAAAGTCTCCATGTGTTAAAACTTGAGATCGTCCTAATGAGACATTTTTTTGGATAAAAAGGTTAAGCATGAACCTAGTGCTGAATCAGCATTTATTTACTATATGCTGAGTTACTTGAATGGCGTTACACATTTATGCATATTATGTGTCATTGTTGTGTTCGCATAATCCAAGTATCCGGTGATCAATTTAATAAATAGTCATATCCTAGTTTCAAAGTTTAATTTATATCATTAGGAAAATAAAATAAAAGTTCCAAGATACCCAGAGAAATCTTTCACGAAAATATCTCGAAAAACCCTCTCACATGAAAGGAAATTTCCATGACAATGAAAACACAAAAAATTCTCTTTGGCTTGCTGTTATGACTAACAACCAAATTCATGACCTGATTGATTTGAAGAATAATTTTATTTTTTTTTAACCGAGAAATCCGTATGTGACCCGCCCTTTGGACCAATCACAGCCTTCTAAACTCGGTGGATAATAGGCCCGCCCCTCTACCCTTCTCCACTTAAATACTGGGCTTTGCTTTGTATGGTGTGGGGCTTGAACCTGCGACCTAAGCCACAAATCCTCCACCACCTGTCACTCAAGCTAGGCCTTGAAGAATAAATTATGTGGACAGTTTTTTTTTTGGTTTATACAACTTGAGCTCAGATGTGAGAACAATTGCAACCAGGTTTCCTGAAAGAGTCACCTCCATTTTACCATGGTGTCATGTGGAAAATTCAGCAGAACAAATGAGACGGATAGTTTTTAGCATGAAACATATATCACTAGCATGTTTCAAGATTGGCACCTGAGTAGTGGTGAGAGGATTTTGCTGGGACAACTGCTGTTGCCTCAGCTGACTTTGATTCACCCTTTGTGCATAAGCCAGGGCCCCGTTTGCCCTTAACTGAGAGCTCATGTTGAGAGACCCCATCATCCCCATTGCCTGTAAGGACTGGCCATGGGAATTCCCTGTATGGAATTGATTCCCCTGCATTAGACCCGCCTTCTGCCGTGGCTGAAACAGAATAAAACTCCTTTCAGCAACACTTTAAAGCACGGCAATTTACACTTAACCTCATCAAGAAAAATAACAATGACAAATAGCAGCTGCGTTTCTTAATTTTTTTTAAAACGCTGCAAAGTTCTCAAACAAAGTTATGCATTAAATGGCCCGGAGTAGAGTTGGTAAAACTTAATATAAAACTTTGAATCCATTTGCATGAATCCTACAAGTGTTAAAGTGATAACAATAACTACTACTACTACGTGTTAGTCCCGGACAAGTTGGGGCGTCTTTATGAATCTTCACCACGTTTCTCCATATCGTGTTGTCATCATACCAAATTAAAGTGAAAAGGAATTTAAATATGTACAAATAATAGCAGTAATAACAATAGCAATAACAACAACAACAACAACCATTTAATAAATAAGTTTTCTAGAGGCATATAAATCTATGATAAGGTGTAATAAAAGTGCTGAAATGATACCGAATTCAAAAATTGAGATTGCAAATTGAACTGGGCAACAGCCGCTGCTGCAACAGCAGCTTGTCCAGATAACATGGGCAGATGGCCCGTCTGTCCCATTAAAGCTGCCCTAGCTAAATTTCCGCTACCCATCTGACCACCTATTTGCTGCTGTTGTTGGTTCTGTTGTTGCTGCTGCTGTTGCTGTTGTTGAAATTGTTGCTGCAGTTGCTGTTGCTGCTGTTGTAATTGTTGTTGCTGCTGTTGCTGGAGCGAAGTACCTCCAACCCCAAAATTCATTTGACCATAAAGTCCTCCTGATTGCTGCCTCATCAAACCAAATTGTTGTTGCTGCTGTTGCATTTGCAATTGACTCATTCTCGCCATTGAGGGTGATCTCTGCAAGTTTTGCTGCATCTGAAAATTAGAGGCGGACATCAAGTTGCTGTTACTGCCGTTAAGATTACTCGAATTATTCTGCTGCTGCTGGAGCTGCATTTGCTGCTGTTGTTGAGATTGTGTCAATTGCTGCTGCTGCTGCTGCATTTGTTGAGGCTGTTGCATCTGAATTTGATGCTGCTGCTGCTGTTGCTGAGATTGGGTTAACGGGATTTGAGGGAGGTCAATTGAAGGCGATTGTGCGATTGAATTGTTGTTAGACGGAGAAGTCATCGTAATTCCGGGATTAGACGACGTCGCCGACGATGCAGCTCCGGCGGCGGATACTTGATTTGTAGTATCGATTATAGGGTTCGATGGTTGAGTTAATTTTGGTGAAGATGACGGAATTTCAGCCATTTGTTTATCGGTTGGTGTTGTGATGATGATGATTCGTCGACTGAACGGAATTCAGATCAACAGAGTCATCGGAAACTTTGAATTTTCAGTTTGGGGATTTTGGGGACTGTGGAAGACTCCGTCGTCGAAGAAGAAAGTGAATTAGCATAGGTTAATTAGACTTCTGCGGGTCCCATAGTAGCCCACGTGTAACAATTGTCAAAAGTAACAATTTCATGCGGTAACCAATTTTTACCCGATATTTAATATTTAACCACTTGTTTAACTATTGTGCACAAGTGAATTACTAGTATAATATGATAATCCCAATCTCACTTGTTTAGCCAGTATATATATTATAGGAAAAAAACTACATAAGTGAGCCATAAAACCTAATAATTATATGTATATATTCAAATTGAAAGCAATTCAAGAAATATTCATTCTCTCATAGATAATTACAATTCATACATTCCTTCATTAAAGCTAATAATTTTCATTTAACAGATACTAAAGCAGTATCATATATTGTATTGATATCATTAAGGCTGATAATTTTGCTTAACTAATATTAAATCAGTATATATATACTGTATTGGTATCATTAAGCTTTTTTGTTCACAAATTACTCATTAGTCAATGATACTTATGATACTATAATTATCATTGAATAATGAGTAACTTCTAAACAAGAAACCTTAATGATATCAACACAATATCAAATAAGCGAAATTATCAGTCTTATACTTATTTAGTATCAGTTGAGCAAAATTAATTGGGGATATATAGTGTAATTATTTAATGGTGTATGAATGTAAGGGGCATATGTTTATAATTATTTTACTTTTATGGGGTATTTGCTTAGTTTCCCCTGTATTATACTACTAATTTGGGGATAGTAATTTTACTGTTTTAGGATAAATGGTGAGATAAACTAATTTCGCGATTATTTAATACTTTAAATCAAACATGAGATGGAGTTAATTAATCTTGATATTATTATTTTTATCCTATCTGCCAAACAATCCTTAATGGAAAGGGTTAAAATATTTTTAACATATTAAAAATGATTCACAAATATCTCATGCAACATAAATAATATTTCGCCATCAAACTAATGATTGCTCGTATTTTTCAATGTGTATAGCTATCTTTTTTGCCATGTACCTGATGCCTCGTCGAGACAACGATTTTACTTGAACTCTATTTCATAGTTGACTCATTCAATTGTTGTGATTGACCTTCAAGCATCGACATTCCATTGTGATATACATGTAAAAGATATTCAAAACAGTACGTTCTTAGTGTTAGACTAATTAAAATAACAAATCTTTTTTTTATCAAAATAAACACATAAGTTCCAATTTCTTACATTTAACATAATATAACGTAATATGAACTAATTTTGTACATCAACTTTTGCTTCTCAAAAGTTTATTATCAATTTGGCCTTCAATTGATTTTCGCCCGAGGATAATTAATATGAACTACTCACAATAAGATAGAAGATAAATCTTTGTATATAATTACATGATCTGAAAGAAAAAATAAATCTAAATCTTTGTATATAATTACATGATTTGAAAGAAAAATAAAATTTAACGGCAATGCAATTCTCTTGTAGATGAGATTTATTCTTCATGTTTAAAAAAAATAATTAAGATCAGTGGGGTGACCTTCAAATTATATATAAGAAAATTCTTTATGAACTAATAACGAATACTTTTATCAAAATTCTTTAATAGTTAATCTAGTTGACACATATTATATAGTATCAAACAATTCAATACTCTTAAAGATCCATTGAGTTAATAAATCAATCAACAATAATAAGACGTCGACAAAAATGATTAAGGAATTAATGAAACAAAAGGGGATAAAAATAGATTTCTACAAACTTACTCGTGTAGTAAAAAAGAACTCCAATCCAATCTTGATACAATATCAACGATTGTTTAGCTTGCAAAATGTAACTTGATAAAAGCAATTTTCAATAAAATAAAATAAAATAAATGTCTTAGATTGGACTATATCAAATTCAATGACGAGCTTTGAAAATGAGATTGTCATGGTATAACAATGAATTTTAAGGTAATTGAAGGGAGAAAATACAATAGTATGGCTATAGATGGTGGTGAAACTGTGATTTGAACAAAAAATGACTAGTTGTAGATGGTGTTGCTTAGGTTTTAAGAAAATTAGATTATTTTGGTGCTTTCTCCGCCGCTCTATCTCTCTGTTTTAGGTCTATATATATAGAAGAAAAAAATAAAAATATTGAGAAAAAAGCGTTTATGAAAAAGAAAAAAAATTTTAGACCCCTTATTACTAAAAACAAGGTCAAAATTTTCTTGAAAATGTATTTGAAGTCAAAGGACCGGACTAGAATATTGATTGGGATATGAATGTTGGGGATGAGTAAAAAAATGTAGCACAATATTTTTTGAGTAATTTTTTTAGAGAAATTATATTTTTCCGTTTAAAGAAAATATTTAACAGATGTATAATTATATGAAAAAATTGACCAAGTTTGAAATTTAAAAATTTATATTTTGTGATATTAGAGTTTAAATAAGATTTTAAAAAAAAACATATGAAACTAATAACAGTTAAATTATTATGTAAAGATATACTATAAAATTATTAAGTCATCAACTATATTTTATTGTAAAAAATATATTTCATTAATATTTACAATAAAATAATTAATAACTTTGAAATATTCGTTTGAATATCTATAATAAAAAATAAATGTAGAAAAGTGAAGAACAATATTATTATTATAATAATAATTAATAAAAAAATAAAGGGAAAAAATATAATACTTGTTAGCACAAAATTTGATAATAAATAAATATATATAATATTTATGAATTCGCGGAAAATCCATATATTCAAATAAATAAATTGATGAGCAAAAATAAAATGCAATAGTACATCATATGTTACGTTAGTAACAAAATCAAATGTTGAGCATATTCCCTGTTTATTTTATTTGGCAAAATTTTATATATGTCAAATTGATTTAATGAAATAACGTTCTATAGGTGTAGTTTATCTAATTGCATTTCATGATTATAGTTTAGTTTTTTTTAATAACTAGATACATGAACGCTAAATAAGGTAACAAAAAATTTACATAATCCCATGATTCAAGCACCATAACAACTGGTTTCCTCGTACCACTGAAGCTATATTAAACGAAAAAATGTATGGTTCATCAATATTCTTGTATATTCAATGCGGAAATTAAACTTCATGTTTTGAACGGCAAAAAAGAATACGATTGATTTGTATAGTATATAATTGAAATTTTCAAAAATGAATTATCAATGTTTTGTTCATTCTAATGGTTCACAAGTATGTATTTTTGTTTATACAAAAATAGAGAAATTGTATATTAACAATTATATTGTAATTGTTGGTTAGAAAAATCGAATGACACATCTTGTACAATTATATGCTTTACAAGTATAAACTAATTGTATAAAGTGAAAATTTTCATATATGACATTTATTAGACTAATATCTTCAAGTTATAGTAGTAGAATAAAACTTTCAAGTTGTAACAATAAAAAATTTCAAGTTATAACAATTTATTAAAAAAATAAAATAATAATTGTAAAAAATCTGTTTTGAAAAAAAAAAGATAAAAAAGGAAAATAAATTGATTTTGAAGAAAAAAAACAAAAAAACAGAAATAAGTGTATTAATTAAATTTGAATTGATGGATGATAATTATTAATTAGCATAAATTTAGGAGATTCAAACTAATTAGGAATAGTTGTTTTCCTTAATTCACTCTAATCTGTTAAAATTAATTAAAAAGTCTTATTTTATCCATTTTTTCTTCAACGTTTCTCTCTCTGCATTTTTTTTTTCCAGAATTGTTGTCACTGGCGAGTAAATCAATTTCTTTTTTTGTTTGAAAAAACTTGATTTTGTTGTGATGGACGACTTCTTATCTATATTAATTAAACATGGTGGTAGATAGGATCCTTCATGTTAGTATTTTGTATGATTAATTGTTTGTATTTGTATATTGCTGAAATGAAAAAAAAAAAGAGCAATGAAATTGTAAATCACATTTTTGTGATTTTGTTTTTGTTTACTAGATTTAAGTTGTGATGTTTTTTGTATAAACAATGCATTTTGTTCATAATACATAATAATTTTTATGAAACAGTAGTTAATGAAAATCTCTGATTTTGTTGGTATGTTTCTGTTTTTTTCTTTGGTTATTTTGTATACTGTATATACCTTGATTTCGTGTGAAATTGACTTAATATATGAATGATTTTAGTATAAATGTATATAATATTAATAGTTTTATCGTTGTAAAGTTATGAAATTTGTGGGAAAAAAAGTGTGAAATTTGTTGTAACATTGTTATGAAACAGGTATTTCTTTAGTCAATTTGATAATAATAATTAGATGAATTTGGTATGCAGATTAAAATTATAATATGGAATACTGTTTTGTTTCCTGAAAATATAAATAAAATGTATAGGTAGGAATGAATTTGGTAGTGTAAATGGAATGATATTGGTATGAAAGTGTATTTACTATTGTGTAAAAAAAATTTAGTAAAAAGGTATGACGATTTGTATGAAAAAAGTATTAAGTTGGTATGAAATGTGAAATGTTATTTTTTATATAATGTGTTTTGTGGTGTAATTATTGCAGAATGTTTTGAAATGATATTGTTATGACTAAGTAGTGACGATTGTGTATAAATTTGTGTGAGAAGAATGAACTAATTGGTATGAAAAATTATTCAGTATTGTATAAAAAAATATGAGTAAGAAGTATGATTATTTGTATGAAATGTGTATTAAGTCGGTCTGAAATGTGAAATGTTATTTTTTTATGAAATCTGTTTTATGGTATGAATTTTGATAAACTGTCTGGAATGATATTTGTATGAATAAGTAATGACGAGTGTGTATAATTTTGTGTGAGTAGAATGAAGTTGTGGATGAAATTTGTATTATCTTTGGTATGAAAAGTTAATATAAATACAATATATTTATAATTGTTTTGTATTATGTAAGACTAACTGTTTCTTTTTAATGAAACAGGGAAATATGTTGATTTTCAGATGGAGGGGATAGTTCGGCGTGGTTAGTCGGA